GCTGCAGCTGCCCAGACGTTAACCCAGCCCGCGCAGCGCTGAGGGGAGGAAAAGGAGGCCATGTAATTCACGGGATCACATGGCTTGCAGAAGTTGACATACCGTATTACACTCACAGCGGAACGCCCAGGCAGACCACAAATACCGCCACGGTCCAGAACACCCACTTTGTAAACAGCATCAAACTCCCCGCAAACCGAGGGCTACATCCCAGTTTTCTGGAAGATGCCGGAGCCTCTCCAGACAGTCTCCCGTACCAAGTCCCGGCTGTCAGTCCCGTGTAAAAGGGGCCAGACGCCTCATGCCAGCGGGAAGTCCTGCCACGCGAGGCAAAGAAATAGAGGGAGCGCTCCCCCATTGGAACCCACCGCCTTCGCCACGAGGCTCGTCTCCAAGCCCGCTCGCGCCTGCTCCTTCATCAAAAGACCTTTTTGCCCTGGTCTCGAGGGACATTCAGTGCTTTCCAGTTACAGCTCTTGGATGCGTACGTGGAGGTCACCGTTAACGCCCGAGAGCTGCACGTCACTTGTTGCTATTGCTGCCCACGTCCTACCTGCTGCACCGCTGCCTCGGCTGAGCCGGCACGCAGAAGGGCGGCCTTACCTCTCTCCACCTCGCTCCGGCACTGCTCGAGACATAGACGTTGGTTTTCCTTGCCATGTTCTTGCCAACGGAGCCTAGGAGAATGAGAAATGGTCCTTCTTGACAAAGGCAAAGCGATCGCTTAACGCGAAGCCAGACGCCTCTGACCTATTTTGATCTGCGAGCAAAACGACAACGATGGGGGAGCTGATTTGTCACGCTACAAACTGATGCCTTCTAAACCCAATCTTCTAGAGACTACTACACAATTTAAGAGCAGCGGGGGAAAAACCTGTGGCTGTAAAGACGCCGAAACAAAAATCTGCAAGCACTTTCTTCAGTAAAAGGGCCAGACAAACAGGAATTTCTGTATGTTTGAGAAACGGATAGCAGCAGGGAAGAGGACCCGAACAAAGCCTGGGAAGGTTTCTCACGTCACCGTGCTGCAGTGAAATGTACAAGCTGTAACGCGCAATTTAACTGCATTTGTGTAACCTGCGTATACAAACTGGATGCTGCCAAGCTCTTCACGTCCTGGCCACGCCACCCCCGAGCCCCTGCGCGTCTGCGGGAAGGCAGGCGGGTACCGGTGGCGACGATCAGTCCCGGCGCCGACTCCTTGGAGAGAATGGGCATCCTGCGCAGCTGGAAATTAAGCAGCTGGCTCAGGCGCTGGGCCAGGTGGAGAGAGCAGCCCTGAGAAAACTGGAAAAGCAGAACACGGCAGCGTTAACCGTCCATCCCGCGCTCGCCCGCGCCCTCGTCCCACCTAGTCCGGCCCTCTCCGCTTGGACAGCCGAGGAGGGACTCGCTTGCGGCGGGACTGCCCTCGCCGTTGATCAGCGTGGCGATGTAGACGCCCCGCACGCCTTCGACGCGATGGAAGTCCGCAAAGGGCTCGTTGGCAAAGTACCTGCGAGGAAACGCAAAGGTGGGCTCCGGGAACCGCAGCCGCCCCACGTCTGGGGAGCGGGGGACTTTCAAGCCTGGGGATCGGGGCGACGCTTTCATCAAACGCAGCCGAAAACTACAAAGGCTTCGCGCGATGTTGTTGTGTACCGCAGCCGATTCGGTGCTTCCCACGTTACCTGACCAAGGTGTCGCTTCCAGCTCCTCCGGGGCTGTAGTAGAGCACATTTTCCAAAGACAGCGAGAACTTCAGGCCTTCTGCCTCCGAGATGTAGAGGTCGGTACGGTTGTTATGGTGGCTGACGCAGACAAACACCTGGTCCTCCGAGGCATCGGCAACGTAATATTCCTTTGGGATGGAAAACAACAGGCGAGCAGGCTTCATACATGTGGGCATACGCGCAGGGTGTACCTACAGGGCGCTTTAGCGTTGCCTCCGAGCTAGCTGAAACGTAATTCTTCCCTCCACCCGTTTGTATTTTTTCCCCTCGGCAAGCATCTTTCCTTTGCTTTTTCTTTCATGTTTCTCCGTCGGCAATCGCTATCCGCCACACCGCGTAACCCACCGGCAAAGCCCCCCGGGGAGCAGCGCTGGGCACCAAACCCCCTGGGTGCCAGGTATTCGCCTGCACCCCACCGAGGCCGGGGGCTTCTCGCTGCTCTGCCAAACGCCCGGCGTGCTGCTCGGGCTCTCCTTCGTCCCTGCCAGCCTGGGGAGAGCACAGCGCATGCGGTTCACAGACCACAGACTCTTTGCAGACCCTGCCCGTCTCCCTGGGCTTCCTCTGCCTGCGGAAGAGACGGATGCTCCGGGTAATGACGGGGAAACCAGCGGGTGCTCGGCAGCCTCGCGCCCCACGCCACGGGAAGAGGCAAGGTCCCCGCAAGCAGAGCCAAAGCACGGAGCTCTGAGATCATCAGCCCCCCTCTTGGTATCCGGGCTTTGTCATCAGCCCCCCTCAACCGCGGAGGAAGCCCGTGGCTCTTTCCGGACAGCCTCACGCCAGGACAGTAAGTATTTCTGAATTTCTCTGCAGGCACGAACGGCTAGAACGAAGTACTGCCGTGTGAACCGCGAGAGCATCGCAACGTGAGCTTTTGCTCAGCCAAACCCCCCCCGAGCAGGGTCATACGAGGTCCCTTCCCAGCTCCGGCTCCCGCAGCGTCTGGCAAAACGCAGAGAACCGCTGCTGGCCTCAGAGGGCGTCCTCGGCAAAGGAGGCAGAGAGGAGGTCTTCTCGGAAATCGCCGCTTACCGTAATTGGATGCTTGGTTACGAACTGTGCCACGCGCATCGGCTTGCGGTCGAAGGAAACCCAGAGCTGGACCGAAGGCGGCTGCGAGCTGCCTTGCGAACGCTGCGGCAGAGCAGAGGGACACGTTAGGAATAGATCTCGCCCCCCCAAATCACCCTTGTCTCCAGCAGCGGCCGAAAGGCAGGCCGGGGCAAACCCACCAGCCGCCGGGCCTGGCCGATCGGGCGGAGGTGAGGAGGCTGGTTTTAATTCCTCCTCTTTCTCTAGAGCAGCCTGTCCTTTCCTTCCTATTGTTAATGACTGGCACCAAACGAAAGGCACCAGCGCAAAGCCCACCAAGCAAAAGGCCGGGGGCCACCTATTCCACACAGGATGCCAACGGCAAGCGCCCAAACCCAGATTTAGGCTCCAAAAATAAGCGGCCTGATTCTCCCAGGCTCCGTATCCC